AAACAGTATTTCCAACAACACTGTAGCCACCTAAACCAGTGGCAGTGCAAAGGGCAAAAGGAGTGTTTCATTTGGGTTAGCTACAATGGAGTTCAGCTTTCATGGTCACCGCAATAGAAAAGATACAGAAAAGACATGGTATTTGATGACATGGCAAAATGATGTTACTTTAAGATTTACTTCCACACCTGTGGGTGTACAATATAAAGCTAGGAAAGAGAAAAAAAAAAAAAAAAAAAAGGAAGGAAGGAGAAAACGTGGTATGGAGGAGAGCCCTCTGCGCTTGGAGTCAGAAATCCTGTAATTGAATTCTGGCTCCATCATTGTTGTTGTTATGTGCTGTCGAGTCAGACCCGACTCATAGCAACCCCTCCTTGGGTTTCCAGGGTGGTATCACTACAGAAGTAGATTGCCCAGTCTTCCTTCCGAGGAGTGGCTGGTGGGTTTGAACCGCCAGCCTTCTGATTAGCAGTCAAGTGCCTTAGGCACTACACCATCAGAGATCCTCCTACATCATTATATGGTCTAAATTTAGGGGAAATCCCAGCCAACCTTTCAGGCCTCTAGTGCCTCATGTGTACAGTGGGGATAATACTTAACACCTGCTTCACACGGCTGGTCTGAAAGGGGTCTGAAAACTAATAAAGTGCCATACAAAAGCACTATGATTATATGGCCATATCAGTAGATTACCACTGTATCTGCACATGACTCGAGTCTTTAAGAACTTGCATAACTCAACATAAATACTGATTTTACACACCATAGGTGGAAAAGACTCTACAAGTATAGCTCTGAATTGCAAATACACCCTCTCTAGTATCTCACTAAAATTTAAGATTTAGTAAAGATTACCTGGTACCAGGGTAATAGATTAACTATTCAGTACTTCAATTAGGGCCATCTTGTAAAGGGCTGTAGACTTACTCTAGAGCCATTTCCCACAGGACCAGCAGTCCTTTTGAGATTCTCTGAATAAAGGAGGGGGGGCACTCTAAAGTCAAGTCAGTCTAGCAAACAGTCTTTAAACCCTCTTATAAATTCACAATATATAACAGTACATTGAAAACACTTAGAAGGCCTAGAAAGGAAACAAGTCCAGCATTCCTCAATTTTAATTAACCATAAAGTCCCCCCCACACACATTTTTTCTCTTACAATATTAACATCCCTTAGAACTGCTGCTATAAGGAACACATTTTGGCAAATGATGCTCAGCTACAGGGAAAAGGGAAAAGCAGCACAACAATGAACTGAGGAAAAAAGAACTGTATTCTACTCAGGATTCTGTTATTGACTGGCTGTGTGTCAGGCAAGACAGCTGTATGAATGTTTCCTTCTCCAAAAAAGGACCGGATCCCCTAATTACGTAAGATCCATTCTAGCTCAGCGTTTCTGACTCCTGGGGACAGACACATTATCTTAATTTTTAACTATCAAAACAAAAAAAAACCTACTTGGTGGTTTAGACAATATTTCTTACAGGTCCTCAATATGTTAATGAAATATATTTGATGATAAAATGTGTAAGGACAAGAAATTGTGAAAACAAAAATACTTGTTCATAGCTAGAACTAGCATTTGGAAGCATGTTGCCGGAAATTGTTTTCACTGTGAAATGCACCCACTAAGTCCCACTACTACATTCGTGTAGGGTGTAGGGAGGCTTCCAGGACAAGAATTCGTGACATCCTGAAGGGGTTCTTCCTATAAACCCTGACGTGGAAAGCTCTGGATAGCTCACTAAACTCCTTCCTTTCAATCTAATCTGCCATGGGCTGAATTTCTTAGTACTTCCTGCCCAGTACTGAACATTCCTGAAGCACTAATACAGCCATGTGGGAACTAGAGCTTCCAGAAAATTCTGACAGGCCACATGGGTTCATGTTAAGACCAACATCTACTAGATCTGATGTGCAAGTCCTTTAGCAGCATGCACTTTAATTGGTATTAACAGCTGCCATTTCCAAAGGCCACAGAGTTTTGAAATACAAGGTCTCCACAACACTTCTCAGGTATCACCTGACCGTCAAACGTCAACCCACACCAGTCTCAGAAGTCAAGGGAGAGCTCGGCCAGCTAACCAGCTCTTATGGAAGAGCATGTTAGGAACTCCTGCAATTTTAAAAAATAAGATTGGCATGTAAGGCAGGCTGAAAAAGATCACTGTCAGGAAGAGTGTGACAGGAATTCTGGACTAAAATGTTGTGTGGTTTATGCTGAAAATCCCATAGCCCGTCTTCTTACAGAACACAGGAGCACACCTGCACGGAGAGTTTCAATCTCCTCCTCTCCCTGCTCACACACCTCCCCCCATTTCAGTTTGCTACTGAATACTGAATGAGTACTTCACACTAATCTTAAATAAACTATAAAATGGCAAAATAGTGTGACAGGATTTATGTACTTGGTTTTCACTGAAGCGACTTCCGCTTCATCAATGCATGGTTTGTTCCTAGGGAAGTTTTCCCTTTCTGGGCCAAATCCTGACTGGGAATCTGAGGACAGGTTATCTTTGAAACTTGAACCTGAGATTCCTACCTTTTTGCATCACTTAGTCTCTAGGCCCTATGAAAATTCCGTAAAATCTTTTCACCATCTTTGAAAATTTTTTAATAGAGAGGAGGCATGCCAGTATGCTCCTCAATTTTTGAGGGTCCCCATCAGACTTCCCAAGGAGCCCCACTGGCACGGTGATTAAGCATTCAGCTGCTAACTGAAAGTCTGGCAGTTCGAACCCACCAGCCACTCCACAGCAGAAAAACGTGGCAGTCTGCTTCCATAAAGATTTACAGCTTTGGAAACCCTCTGGGGCAATTCTGCTCTGTCCTATAGGGTTGCTCGACTCAGTGGCAGTGGATTTGGGTTTGGGGATTTAATTAGACTTTGCCTAGCTAGTCAATGGAGTACTGAAGCATTTCACGCTTCCTGACTCGGGCCATGCAACACTGTGGTCACCTCCACTCCTGGTATTTCCGAGTGATATTGCATCAATGCTACTAACTGTGGCAGTGGCACCTCTCTCAGGGCTCAGAGTTCTCTTCTAAAAACTACATATTCGTACTAATAATTACACCCAGCAACAGCCATGTGAGCTTCAGTTTCTTTGCGGTATCACTTTATGCAACTCAAAGCACTCTGGAGGAACGTATTTGTGTACAAAGACTAATCCCTTATGTACAATATATGCCTCTTATAAAGTGCTCATTTTAGCTGTAAATCTATCGATACATAACAGACAAAAAACAAATCTGATTTCTTTTTTAACCCTTTTAATGCAAAAAAAAAAAATTTTACCTTAGCATTACACACGAGCTGGCTAGGATTTAGGGTGAACAAAAGACTTCTAATGAGTTAGTTATGTCTCTATAGCACCTGCCCAGGGCCTGGAGTGGAGCCTCGAGTTTAGCAAACTCTCAGCAAGTTTCTGCATGAACGAATGAGCACACAACTGTCTGCAGAAAGAATGCGTTATTTAGTGGCCAAATCTAACTAACGGTAGAATATCAGATTATAATTACTGGAGGATTCATTATAAAAATAAGAGATCTGCATGCAGTTTACTGCATTGTCAAAGAACTCGGTAACTTTTTCCAGATGAGTTTTTCTTAAGAAATAATCAGAACAAAGTTAAGCTAATTATTAACTACACTTCCTACTGAGAAGAGACTTGTTTTCTGAAAAAGGAAACCTTTGACACTTATCAGCCCTTTTCTTCGACATTCCCTTGGGCAGAGGAGGAGTCTGATGACTCTTTTACACAGGAAAGGGCACCAAGTTAAGAGCTGAGTTCTAGTCCCAGCCCTGTCATTAACTGTAGGACAAGACTTCATTCTTCACAAACGGACAGCATCACCTACTCTACTGAGAGCATTGGGAAACACTGGGTGCCATCTCAGAAGGCAGGCTCCACAGGATAGCAGAGCCTTCCGGTTAGGGAGTCAGAAAAACCTGAGGACAAGTCTTACGAGCTTTATGACTGTGTTGGTCACTTAACTTTTAAACCTTAGCTTTCCCACTTATGTAAATGTGCTGTAATATCACGTGAAACTGTAGGAAAGGTGATGCTAAGGGCTGTGAAATAATATGTGCAAAAGGGTTTAAGGAAACGTAAAGCACTGTGCTGGCTATTACAGTGTCTAAGATTTTTGAAAAGTTATCATTTCATTCAACAACCATTCATACAGTGTCTTATGTGCAAGGCACTGGGCTAAGTGATAATGAAAAAAATCCAACATAAGTATGAAATTCTGCTAATAAGTAACTAACTGGCAGAATTCCACTAATGAAACAGGGGCACATGGAGCAAAACAAAGTACTGCCATTCCTGAGATTTTTTACTTAAAAAACAAGACCAGATCCTTAGGGGAGAAAAAAGCTATAATCATAACATGAATTCTACCAGTATTGCTACTATGAATAGAAGCTTATTGAATATGCCCATGTGGTCAGCCAAGCCTTAGAATTTAACGGCGTGATGGGGGCTAGGCAGGAGGAGCGGAGGGAGAGCTTCAGCTTTCTGTCTCCTATGCTTGCACCATCCAACTGAACCTCAAATGAGCCACACCCACCCCTACACAGAAGAGCTGTTCTCTCTTAAACAGGGGAAGATACAGAGTTACAGTCCAAAGGAAAAACATTTTTCTGGCTAAATACTGAAAGGTGAAAATCCTCTTCACTGAAGTGACTGTCAGAGAAAAGTGTGAGAACAGATTTCTTAAACTGAAGAAAATGACTTTTAACAGCAAGTAGTTCAGAGCTCGTGAAATAACTTTATAAATACATATAATAATTTAGATAATCAAAGCGGGAAAATTCCAAGTCATGGTACCAGTGTATAAATGGGAATGGAAACTTTTCAAGCCATCTCAGGAACAGTTCAGTGAGCAAACCACATTTCTAAGCTCTAAAGTTGTGTTTCAAAATGCACAGCAGCCCGTGGCAAGTTCTCTCTCGTGCAGGCATTCTGTGGGGAAGCTTTTCTGGGCTCCGGTCTCGGCTCAGCTGAAAGGGCGGAAGGCCACAGCTGAGCTGAACTCGCTGTCAGACGAGCTTCCTAGAGAAATCGTGGTAGTGGAGGCCACATCAGTCTACAGAAGATTTCAGATCTTCAGAAATGTCACGGAAAGTCCTATGAAAAGAAAAGACTTTCATCTTCTAGTTAGTTTTTAGAAAAGAGAGAGAGAAAAGAAAAATCAAATCACAGCTATTAAAAAAAGAAAAACTATGCAGTAATTTACTACCATAAGATAGTTTCTTACCTTTATCCTCTCTGAAAGCCTTAATGAGGTTATGCACTATTCTTTCTTAGTATTTTCACAGAGTATTATTTCAGTCTGCTGTCTGTCATAGAACCCCAGTTTCTACACACACACTCTGCTGTCACATCATATCTAGAAATAATATTGAGGTGGAAAATACTTAGTCCCTCCCACCTAAGGCTATTCTCCCTTAAAGCTCCACATGCTCACGTGACTAAGTTCTGGCCAATGAAATGTAAGTGGAAGTACTGTGCAACTTCTCAGCTGCGACCTTGAAAGAGAAGGATGATGCTTGTCAGCCCTTCTCCCTCTTACTGGCTGAAAAGTGGACATAATTTAGATAAAGAGAAAAAATACTGAGAGAGGAAACATAAAGTGCTAAGTGGGAATATTTTACTATAAAATTAGGACACTTGATCCAGCACAGCCCAAGCTCTGAGGGATGAGGTTCAGGGGAGGGAAAGGGGGGTCTTTTAATCAATGACCCTGTACTTGTACTAGGAGCTCTGGCAGCACAGTGCCTAAGGCATCTGACTGCTAACCTGAAGTTGGTGGTTCAAACCCACCAGCCACTCCGTGGAAGGAAGACTGGGCGATCTACTTCCGTAAAGATTTACCGCCTCAGAAACCGAAGGGGGGTAGCTAGGAGTCGGAATCGACTGGACAGCAGTGGGTTTGGTGGGCTTGTTTTTTTGGGGTATTTGTACGATCTCTGTCCCAAATCAGGTGAGCTAAGAAAATGTTGTTAGTTGGTAGGAAATATCACTAGATGTTTAGTAGCAGTCCTAGGCCACCACACACTAGCTATCAGTAGCACTTCCAAAGCAAAGACAATGAAAAATGTCCCCAGACCTTGCCAAATATTCCGAGGCAAGCAAAATCAACGACCCCCCCATCATGAAAACCATTGCTGTAGTTATCTGCCTACCAATTTATTTATGTATCTACTTCTCACACTCTCACCTGTGTTTCTCTATTTTCAAATTTCTAACACACCTGCAAGTTGGAATCTGTAACTATTCATTTCCTTTAAATTATGAATGAAAACTTCTGCCTCAGGGCAAAGATGCATGAAATCAGATTAAGCCTGTGGCCGCCTAAAGACAGCTTTCTGTTGACAAGTAAATGTAGCTGTTACCTTGAAATTCACACCTACTATTCAATTCTGCCTCCAGGCCAAGAAAGCCTCCAAAAGGACAAAGAAGAAAGAAAACAGGGAAACCTCGCTGATAAGAGGGACTAAGTATTTTCCACCTCAATATTATTTCTAGATATGATGTGACAGCAGAGTGTGTGTGTAGAACTACAGAAGCAAGACCTTAAACAAACCTCTGGTTACTTCTAGGAAAACAAACTAGAGATGGCGACATGATTGGTTTCTGGCCTAATCAACAGGCATAGCTCTAGTCAATCAGCAGGGCTCATGTTATTTACTAATTGTGTGGCTTAGAAACAAAGACACAGACTTGCACTGACAGACTCTATTTCTAAAAATGTTAACTGTTCTACTTGAAGCATCTAAATACAGTATTCTTCCCCTAACCATGAAGATTAAGCTCCTAAGAACCACAGTGGTAACATTTCTTACTGAAGAACAAACAATGCTGACCGGGACCACATGTGGCCAGACAGACAAAAAACTGTCAACATTTTATGCCCCCTTTAACAGCAATGGGGATTGTGTAGTGTGATGTTTCATTCACCTGCTCTTTGAAAATGTTTTGGGATCTGTTTCCCCCAAAGTGTCGGTGACATATTTTAAAATTCATTTTACTTCCCACTCCCCCATACCCTCTACGTAAATATTTAAATCATCTCTGATTTCGAAATACTCAAAAGATGTTGACTGCCAGCATCTGAGAGATGTAGAATAAAACCTGGATGTTTAAAAATAAAAAGCTTTAAGTGATTAAACTGGGTAGCTGGCTCCACTCAGCTCAGTGTATTCCCAAGCTCATCTCCAGCACACAGTTACAAACCTTTGGACAAAGCACGTATCATCAACCATTATGCATATCCCTTCATTTCTAACAAATCTTGAATAAAGTTCTAAGTCTGGGACAGACTATGTCCCATCCTCTTCTAGGAACCTCAGGTTATATTGCAAAATAATCTTTTTGTCTGATTTGCTTTTGGTTTCACTAATTTATTAATTCATCAAATTTTCACTGAACACTTTCTATGTGCCAAGCACCACGCTGGAAATGTGAAAATAATGGTAAGCTAGTTACAACTCCTCTCTTCCCAAAGCTCACCAACTAGTGGAAAAGACAATTAAGAATGAACTTACATAACATAGTTTACATTCCCCTAGACATGCAAGATGCTATGGAGACATACAGCATGGGCCACTCACTCCAGAGAGTTCCAAGAGTGCTTCTGAGAAGACGCATATATTAAATATAGGTCGTAACACCTGGACTTGGCTACAAAGGAGTGGTATTCTTTACAAAGGGGATTCCATATGCAAGGATTAGACTGACTTCATGAAACTAAAACAACTGAAATGAACTGCAAGACAGGTAGCACAAAGAGATGAGTCTGGAGAAACAAAAAAAAGAACGCATGTGAAGTGTTATGGGCAAATTCAAGTTCTGACTGCATTAGGAAGCCTCTGTAAGAGGCTTTTTTTTTTTTAATGTAAAAAAATTTTAGTTGTCTGATGCTTGTTGCACAGTTAGTCATAATTAAAAAAAAGAAAAGCCCGTGAGCCACCTAGTTTACCTATAGGGCTATAGAGCTATTATATGGTTGACTGCATATCCTTAAGGCACAAGGTTATGAAGTTTTTAAAAAGAATGAGGTAGATTTATATGTGATTGCCAAATTTATATTTTCATCTCCAGATTCATATAACTAAATGCCCACTGCGGGAATTTTAAGCAAAAAAGGAACATGAACATATTTATGCTTCAGAAAAGCCATGAAGGTTAGGGTAACAGTTAAGTATAGCCCCTTTCCCAATTCGTTTTCTTTGTTTTCTCTCAGATTTTCAAACTGGAATGCCGAGGAGCACATTCCAACTAAAATTCTTAATGTGAATGTGAAGATCTGAAGGAGTGGTGAGTTTTCTGGAGAACATATTTGTGCCTTATTTTGCAATGACAAAGAACAAAAATTAATTCTTGTTCTATAAAGTACGATGTGACACCTCTGTTACCAAATATTTTATAAAAAGATATTTTTGACTGAACTTTGGATATTTATTTAATTATGAAAGATCTCACAGTCAAGTTAGGATAAAGCTTCTAAAAACACCAGTGACTTACTGTAAACTGTCTCCTACAGGGAAACAATAAGTTGAGATCCCAAAGAACTACATTCCAGCTGTCACCCTTGGTACTGTCAGGTGTGACAGAGGGCAAAGGAAAACTTGAATACAGAGAATGTCACTCCTGGAGGAGCTCCTGGGACAGGCTCCCACCTTCAAATAGACTTTTCTGAGCTTTAATATTGAGCTTGCTGTTCAGTCTTCAATGGGAGTGGAATATGTACATCAAATCAAATCTGATTATCCTGTCTGTGGTGGTTAAGTTTGTGTGTCAACTTGACTGGGCCTGGTTAAAGGCTGGGCAGCTGAATGTAGTTATTCCCCATGGTGAGACTGGTAATCAGCTCCATGGTGGAATCTACTGTGAGCAGCTGAGTAGCTCCCTTAGGGATAGGGTCTGCTTCCTGTATACAAGGAAAAGTCTTGGGGAACAGTCTCTAGCTTATGGCATGCTTGAAACCTGCATGTAGCTGTGCCATTGCTCAGCAGCCTGCCATGCTCTGCCGACCTTGGGACTTTCAATGGACTTGAATTAATGGCCTGCTGTGTGGTTAGGTAATATCAGGACCATGCCTCTTTACTTGCCAACCTTGGGCTCGTCAGTCTCAGCAGTCAGCAGCTGTCTGAGTGAAGAAAAGCCTCCAGCTCCAGTGGGCCAGGAGCAGGAGGCAGAGCTGAAGCCCAAGGCTGAGGGGCTTTCACCCAGCCCCTAGAGCCCAGCACTTTGAACTCAGACTTAAAGCCTCCAAACTGTAAGAGAATAAACTCCTGTTTGTTAAGCCATCCCATTTGTGGTATATTCTTATCAGAGTGGCACTAGGTAACAAAAAAAAACTGTCCAAAAATCGTATAAACTATTCTAAGATGTAAGGTTCCAGGAATGTTTTCACCTCTCCCCACACACCAAAACCAGCTCAGTGTTAACAGAGAAAAAAGGCAGTGATAGGTTCTGCTTGTTGAACTCAGTCCAAAAGAGCTGGGAGCCCAGTACTACATTGCATCTGCTACATTCCTGACGATCGAGATACTCTATTCACCACCCTCAACAGTGAGAAGCAGAGAGAGTTCTGCCCTCCTTCAATCCTCCTTTAAATTGATGCCTGTTCATCTGCCTGTAGACTGCAGTACATAGAAACAGTCTTGTGTGTCTTTGCGCAACCAGTTCCTGCAACTAGAATTAAAAGGAATGTCTGCTTAAGGAAATGCAACTGTCCACCCTCTATTGTCATATTGTAACAACATAAAGTTGCTAACAGAAGCCAAGCCCTTCTGTAGCTCATGCTTCTGTACACTTCATTCCTTCAAGGCCCATCCATTAGTCCAACTAGGAAATGAGCGCATCCCAAGTACAAACATGGCTGACAGGTTCTATGGACCAGCCCACAACTGTCAGCCTCTATAGTCTGTAACTGAAACAGACATGGCGCCTGCAGTCAAAGGAAACACAGTCAAGTGGGAAGGTGAGTAACGTAACGTATGAACAAAAGCTGCATCATGAAGGTAAAGTTCGAGGTGCTATAAAGCTTCCTAACCCATCTTGGAAAAGGTGGTCTGATGAACTGACATTTGAGTTAAGATCTTAAGAACGATTAGGAGTTATGTGAGCAAGGAAAGACTTGGGGGGGGGGGGCCCAGACCAAGAAATGGTTAGAAGGAGCCTGATGCATCTGAGGCCCTGACAGGAGGCCGGTATGACTGCACTTAGACACGAAGGAAGAAAGTGTTTCAGAGTTAGTGAGGTGGGCACAGGTCAAATCAGGTAGGGCCTTGCTAATCATGTCGGGGATTTTGATCTTTCTCCTAAAACCAACGGGAAACCTTTCTACTGAGTTTCAAGACCAAATGTGCTTGCATAGATTACGAACTGCAGGATGAAGAACAGAACAGAAAATAGTAAGGGTAGATGCTGAGGGATTCCGTAGGTGACTAAGTCTATGCAGCAGTCCAGGTGAGAAGCGCCTAGACCAACTCAGACCAGGGAGGTGGCAATAGAGACAAAGAGGCAAAGACAGATCTTGAGGTAGAACTGGCAGGACCTGCACAGATGACAACTGAGGGCATGGGATGTGATAAGGATGACACCCTGACAGATGTCAGCAGAGGGTAACATTTACGGAACTAGGAACCCGAGGAGAACTCTGCTGCTCTTTGGGGGGTGGGGTGGGGAAGAAAAGAGCAGAGGAAGATCCTGAATTCAGACCCACCAGCCCACCCACTTGTTAGCTGTAAGACTGTGGGCAGGTTACCGTGTCTATGCCTTGATGTCCTCATTTATGAAACAGGGAAAATGACAGTGTCTAATCATGTATGAAAACACTGGATAGATTGAGTAGAAGGAGTAAGATAACACACATAAAGCTCTGATCAGAGAACTTGTCACACAGTAAACCCCCAAAAATGTTAGCAGTATTTGTTTTTGTTACTATTTAAGAGGTCAATTAGATGTGTCACTAAAGAATGACATACTGAATGTACATTTGCTTCAGGCTCTCCCAAAACGCCATTAGAATGTCAGCAAAAGGATTTCTTAAAAGGTATAAACCCATCAAAAAAAAATTAAAAAGTTGAGAAGAGGTAATGTGATTTCTGGTACAATCATGTAAGGAAACTATTTGGCAATATCTACTAAAGTGAAAATAGATGTATACCCAGCAATTCTATTTCTAGGTATGTACTCAACTGAAATAAGTACTCATGTCCACAAAAAAAGCATGTAGAAGAATGCTCACAGCACCTTCATTCATAATAGCCATACACAGGAAATTACCCAAACATCATCAATGCTACCAAGGAATAGACTGGAATATTAAATGTTGTTGTTTGTTGCTAAGTGCTATCGAGTCAGACCCGACTCACAGCGACCCCTCCTTGAGCTTCTGAGGAGGTATCACTATGGAAGTAGATTGCCCAACCTTTCTTCTGAGGAATGGCTAGTGGGTTTGAACCACCAGCCTTCTGGTTAGCAGTCAAGTGCCTTAGGTACTATGCTACCAGAGCCCAAACTACTATAAGGATAAAAAACATGGGCATAATGTTCAGCATAAGAAACCTGACTAAAGAGTCCATACTAAATTATCATTTTGCGTGAAGTTTGGAAGCAGGCAAAACTCATCTAAGGTGAAAGAAGTCAGAATACTGGTGAGAGAGGGGCTTGACTGAGTGTTTTCTGCAGTCTTCAGCCCAGCCCTGGTACTAAGGCACCTGTATCCTGATAGACTAGTCAGATGCAAAACACAGAGACGCGACGGTTCCATTTTCACACATGGTTTACAATCATTCTGCTTTAACTCACCGCTGAGTCGGAGCAGGCCACGGGGTCTGGTTTGGCGTGGGCACTGAGTTTGTGGGACTCACCAGCATGGCAGTATAGATATTGGAAGCAACCACAAGTATGCAGAGAAGTATAGGCCCAATGATTGCTCCCTCCAGGCCAAGGTAGTAAGCTCCCCCAGCCACTGCCAAGCCTGTCAAGTAAGGATGGCCACCTCTGGAATGAAAAGCACATTGATTAGTTCATGAGTTTTAAGAAACATAAACCTTGGAGTAAATCTGAAATACATCCTCTAACACAAAGTTAATGATCCAATGTACCAACGCATACTTTTTATTGTATTATCAGCTTTAGACTTAGCTTCAGATTACTTCAATACAGACAACTCAATATTGATTATAATAATATTTAGATGCAAGAATTTTCTCACAAATGGAGCATGTGTGTGAAATATGCTTCTCTTTATAGGTCCATCAACTAAAGAAGTAAGTCAACATGCTAAGAGAGATTAATCACCCGTTACAGAGAGCCACCTCAAGTGGGTTAATGTTGACTTCTGACTGGTCATTTAAGTCATCTATTAAATTTTCCTCCATCAAGAATAATTAAGCAGGTACAATTTAGGATATAATTCAGTTAATTGTGTTTTTTGTAAAACAGCAGCAAAATAGCATCCCTGTTATTCATAGGTTAGATTTCTGGCAACCTCCAAAACTACTGTTTTTAACACAGGTGAAACATCAAGTCCTCCTGAGGAAAACATCTGTCATAAGCCCAAGCTGCTCTTTCACAGGAGAGTCATAATTGCCTGCAGTTTATCACAGTGTCACTTGCATAAGTGGAATAAAACAGAGGACAGCAGCACAACACACTGGTAACGACAACAAGGGGCCCCCGACATAAAAGAGAGTAAGAGCTGAGATAGTTCGTTGGCTTTCTGCTTTTTACACACAAATGAGCACAATTCTGTGAGGGGTGAAAAAATAAATGCCTTGGAAGGATGTTCTATATAATATTATAGTCCAACAAATAACACACATGGTGAAGGAGTCTACCTCATTCTAAAAAACACTTAGGGTAGTGTTCATGTAGCTGCATAAGTCAGCTTTTCAATAAACAATACATTCAAGGAAAATTTCTATCAAAATTCTTTAAAGAATTAAAGAAAGAAGAAAGTATAGGAGCTTTAAGTAAAAGTTTAATTTATTAAAAAACAAAACAATTTACACAAAACTTTCATTTCCTAGTACCCATTCCCATCAAGTCAATTTCAACTCATAGTAACTGTGACATAGAACTGCCCCACAGGGTGTCCAAGGCTGTGATCTTTATGAAAACAGACTGCCACATCTCTCTGTAGGACGGCTGGTGGGATCAAACTGTCTACCTTTTGATGAGCAGCTGAGTGCTTTCCTCATTGCACCACCAGGCATCCTTCTCATTTCCTAATACCAAAAAACCAAATGCACTGCCCTCAAGTCGATTCAACTCACAGTGACCCTTCCTTGGGTTTGTTTCCGAGGCCATATCTCTACGGAAGTAGACGGCCCAATCCTCCTTCCGAGGAGTGGCTGGTAGACTTGAACCACCAGCCTTCTGGTTAGCAGTCAAATGCCTTGCGCACTACACCACCAGAGCTCCCAATATTGCTGGTTAAATAAAGTATTTTTTATTTTAAAAAATAAAACTACATGTAAGTTTTAAAGGAGCTCTGGTAGCATAGTGCCTAAGGCACTTGACTGCTAACCAGAAGACTGGTGGTTCAAACCCACCAGCCACTCCTTGGAAGGAAGGTTGAGCAATCTACTTCCATACTGATTCTGCCTCAGAAATCCACGGATGGGTCGCTATGAGTTGAGCCTGACTCAACGGAACATAACAACAACAACAGGTTAAATACACTAAGTCAAGAGACAATTGTTTAAATTTGGATTTCACCCTGGATCTCATATAATATAAATAGTACTTACATAATAACAAAAAAAATCTCATACTTCAGATTAGTTATTTTTAAAGTAAACTTTCATTATATCAGTGGGAACATAAAAGGCTATTTCACTGAAAAATCCTACCACCCATGTCTTCCTCTCCTGTCCCCAGTGGGGGGGGGGGGTCCTTAAAAAAAAGTCGTAGCAATCTCCCTGGATGACTCACCAGCAGCCTCGGCAATTCTGTCGAACACTTACCCTGAGATATCAGAATAGATGGCAGTATCTACAAAGTATGTTGGCAAGAGATGAAAAACCAGCAGTAAGATGGCTTTGCATCCCAGGCCTTGAGTAAGCCACAGGTCTAGAACTGCAGGTACCGCTGCCCAGTACGTCCCCAGAAATGGCACCGCTCCGAGAATTGCCGCCAAAGCTAACACAAAATGAGAAGAGGGAAAGCAACCTCATGTCATCATCCACACAGCAACAAACAGCAGAGCCAACTCCTCCTGCTTAAAACCTCTACCAAAACAAGTGAAACAAACAAACCCAAGTGTTAGGAGAATGATCTGCTCTGTTTAACTGAATTTTCTAGTTAGTTGAAGGTCCAATATCTTAAAACTTGACATTGAAGACATTTCTAAAAGGTGTATGTATCTGCTTTGGTAATCTGTTCACAAACAACGAAACAGTAGTGTCTGGAGATCACTACTCTGAATCAGCAGTTAACAGTGAGTATACAGTCCTATAAACATAACCTCAAGTCCAAAGCCAAAGCAGAAATTAGCTTCCAAACCTCAGCTATGAATGCCCCTTTCTAGGAAGAATGGAGTGTGATTTAAAAAGCAAAAACAAAACACTCCTGAGATTGGAGGGGTTTCGTTTAAGCCCACTCCTTCCGTCACAGCATGTTCTAGCACCCGCTCCATTTGACCCTGCAGACCAAGACTCCGGGGAGGGGCACTCTCATTCCAAGTCTACCAGCAACCAGGTATCTGACCCTGGGAAACCGTTCTCTCATCTATAAAACAGAGGTGACACCACCTAGTTTGCCTGCCTTAAAAGGTTAGAAAAAAATAACCACTTTCATGTGCTCTCAGGGTGCTTGCATGTCAGAGGGTGGGATAGAGGATACCGAAGTGGGAAGGAACATGAATGAACTTGGGAATATAGAGAAGAAAGGGGCCACCGTTAAAGGAGGGAAACAATGGTAGTAGCTGTAAATATGGAAAGCTGATATACTGAGGAAAATAAGCCACAGCCACAGAAATACAGGAAGAAAGTAGCAGAAAGGGTAACAGCAGAAAAGAACAAGATGATCGTTAAATTGAAAATCGCTGGGTGCCTGGTGTTTACAGAATTCGGGTTAGCAGAACTGTTCTGGGAGGTATGGAGGCAGCTTATCTGCTCTGAGAAGCAGGCAACTTGCCCCAGGGCAGCATCCCAAATGGGACATGGGTTTCTGACTGCTCACTGCTCCTTACCAACCAGTTCAGTTCCAACATTTAATGGGTGCCGATTATATGCTAAATGTTAGGCTGAGTGCTAGGACACTCATTCATTTAACAAATATTTATGTAGTGTTTTCTATGTGCTAATACTGTTCTAGCTTCTGAAGATTCTGCAATAAACAAACATTATGAATCATATTCCTGGTCCTAATCTGGACTAGATCACCTACTACAAATTTTAGTATTTCAACCTTGAGAAAGATATTTCCTAATGCAAATGAAATGCCTTATCATCTTTAAATACAACACAAAGGAAGTTATTGGTTGTTACCTGATGGTATGAAGACAATATTGATGCCAAATATAGTATGAGTCAGCCAGGTGTACAATCCATAGAAGCCAGCCATTTTGAGGGACGCATCAAACACCCCTCTAGAATGTCCAAAGATCAAAGAAAAAGTAAATAAACACAGTATCATTTTGTGATTCAGAACAGTCAATACTTGTAGGCTTCCAGCTCCTTCATTCCAAATCTAGTAAGTTTCCATTTTTCTCCTGCTCCAAGAACCCCGTCTTCATTTTTTATTTTAAAGAAACATAAAGATCTAGACACACTTTCAGAATCTTGAAAGTGTATGTTTAGTAAATTATTCTTAAAGTTTGTTTGAAGAAAAAAATAAAGCATTTTAAAATATCCTATTCACTTAAATAGTTCATCTTTTCATTTCTGAGGCAGACAGTTCAAGGACAAAATAACAGATGGAAACAAAATTAAACATGTAGATAGCATGTTTCAGAGAAGACAGCTAAACTAAGAAATTCAGGCTGTGACCATGGCCCCTACCGGGAAGAGCAAGTGAGGATTAGTGTAACTTATACTTCATTAGTCAACAAGTATCAGCTTCCCACACTTCCTCAACTGTGTAACCAGCCTCCAATGTAACTTCTGTTACAAATGCTATCAAGGAATATAGGTCATCCGGGAAGAATTTATGAGAAAAATCTCTTACAAACCCTCAAGTAAAATCAGAAAGAGTTGGAAAACAGAAGGGATACATATACTCAGTGATGATAGAAACGCAGGTCGTGAAAGGCTGCCACTTCCAGGACATCATTTTTGCTTTTCAGTTGGAAGATTAATGGTGTAGCACAGTGTAAGAAGGAAGAACGAGGAGCTGCTCAGAAGAGAGCACAAAGGCCATGTCCGTAACAATCCAAAGGTATCATCACAACATCATAAAAACCAGGACCTGGCTGAGGGCAGGGGAGACAGAAGAAAAGCCGTCTATCCTCCTACAAGCAGGTACAGTGGCAGCACAAGAAACATCCACACACACGAAACAGAACCTGTGCTTTTCCAAAACATTCTAAGAGGTCTAGCAGAGAACACAAGCAAGCTCGGGAACCCCATGATTCAGTCAGAGAGAGAGCTGGGGCATGGATGTGGTGAGGACAGACTGGCTCCCCAAACTGTGAAACCTTCTTCATCGTCCTGACCAAGACCTCCCTTGAAAATGTTTTCAAGGTGCCATGTGACACTGAGGACTGAGATAGAAATTCTGTCAGTGAGACTGAAAGGAGACAGTCCACAGTAATATAAAGGGTCTGAACTGAATGGAGGAGACAGAGGGAGAACAGAAGACGGCAAGAGTCCCAGGTCTGAATCTGAAGGGTCTGTAAGAGACGCAGCCTCAAAGACAGGGAGACGTCAGAATGGGAAAGCACACAGAAGAAAAGGGACTGAGTTCACTTTTGAGCTATGGCCAATAGGATGACGAACATAAGCTAGTGGTAGCTGGAAATAAGAGACAAGGCTTAACAGAAAACTCAGGACAAAAGATTTAAGATGCAGCAGAACAGGTTCATCATGAGAAAGGATAAGCCACCGGAGGGGCAAGCCCAGAGGAAATGTGCAACAGGCTACATTCTCAGAAAGGACCAAAGGGCGGATCCAGCAGTCGAAGGGATAAAGACATAACCTCTGAAGAAGGAAAATCACCAGGATGCACACTCCCAGAGACCAAAGGAAAGGACATTTTAGGAAGAAAAGAATTTAGTAAGGCCAATTACCACAGAGAGATCAGTGAGAATAAAGACTAACAAAATGCACTGAGTTTGACTAGAACTGGGAAGGTCAATGTGAAGACACAGGTGCTTTCATTAACTTATTTAACATTTTTTTTGAGCAAAAAAAAAAAGGCTGACATTGAAGGTATAATAGAGCATCATAATAGCATGACCCCGCTGGGTGGCAAATAAGCAAAGCTCAAACTCCACAAGTAAACCCTGGAGGTACTTTTAGGCTTAAAACTTGAGAGATAAAAAGAGAACATCAGAGTGTGTTTAACAGTTAAAAAGTAAACAGTAGGGACAGGTATGCAATTTATACTTAAGCGCTTTCACTTCTTTAAACTTTGCTATAACTTTTTTTTTTTTTTTTTTTTTTTTAATTAGGATTTGGGTGAAGATTTACAGAGTAAATTCACTTTTCATACAGCAGTTCACATATACTTTGTCTCATGTCATTGACCAAAATTTACAATGCAGCAGCTCCCCTCCCACTTCCTCCCCATAGTTACCTCCTCCCAGTGTCCATCCCTTCATACTCTTCTGCACCCTGAGCTATCTCCCTGTGCATAAGCAGCCCTTCCTTCTCCCATGATTGTTCTCTCCAGGGCGTGTGTCTACTTGAGGTAAATGTTTAACTCACATGCCTGTACTTTGTTTGGCTGGAAACCACAGTTGTGGGTTCAATTCCAGACCTGAAGGGCAGCTAGGGGCCATAGTCTCAGTGGTTACACCAGGCTCCATTGGACCAGCAAACCTGGTCCCCACCTTCTTTTTTTTTTTTTTGCCTCTAAATAATTTTGAGTTTTGTACCACATTGTTCTCCCTCTTTATGCAGGATCTCCTACATCCCTTCCAAGTGGATGGCAGTGGTAGCTGGGCACCATCTAGTTCTTCTGGTCTCATAGTTGTATAGGTTGCAGATCGGATGGTGTACCAGTCGCTAGGACTGATTGTTTCCATTAATTTTGGTTTTCTTCTTTCTTCTTGACGAGGAGAGACCCGTTGTTGCATTAAACTTTGCTATAACTTTTATATTAAGGTTTAGAGCTGGAGCTTAAAACTTGTATGTTGTTTTATTTTAATTAAAAAAAAAAAAGAAAACCTTATTCAACCAGCAGTATTAGAAAATGAGGGAGCTCTGGTGGCATAGTGCCTAAGGCATTTGACTGCTAACCAGAAGCCTGGTGGGTCAAACCCAGCAGCCACTCCTCAGAAGGAAGGCTGGGCAATCTACTTCTGTAGTGATACTACCTTGGAAACCCAAGGAGAGGTCGCTATGAGCCGGATCCAACTCGACAGTGAGTTTGGTTTTTATCAGGAAATGAGAAGGATACCTGGTGGTGCCTCTGCTGCTAATCAAAAGGTAGACAGTTCGAACCCACCAGCCGTCCTACAGAGAGATGTGGCGGTCTGTTTCCATAAAGATCACAGCCTTGGAAACCCTATGGGGCAGTTCTGTTCTGTCTCACAGAGTTACTATGAGTTGGATCTGACTCGATGGGAATGGGTAGTAGAAAAATTTTGTGTAAATTGTTTTGTTTTTTAATAAATGAAACTTTCACTTTAACTCAGGATTTGATTAGATGACTTGCTTTCAAAGGAATGAGATGTGAAGCAGGGAATGTGGTGGGGAGAGAAGGACAAACTGCAGTCAAGAAGCTCTATGCAATCAGTACATAAAGGCCTGGATAGTAGAGAAGTGGGGAGAGTATATCCAAGGTAACAGAAAAAAAGAGGAGTGAAGAGTCCAAACCAAATTCTGCCAACCCCACATTTCCTTACATTGGCTCTGCCTTCTTTTCTTTCTAAAGGTCAAACAGGAAGACTATCATTCCCCACAACAGCTACTATTCACCCTACCAGTATCTATCCTCTGCAATATGGTGCACGTCAAGTAGAAGGCGAGGAAGTGGAGAGGACATAGCACATCTAATTATCAGCTGGGACAAGTGTTTCTCATCTCTTGTGATCCATGACCCCAATCCCTCTGCCTTTCTTGGATCTTCTGCCACAGACACACAGTCCCACAGTCGAATGTCCAAGGTGAGGGTTATGGTCATGCCATACATGCAGACCTACAGAGCTTCTAAGGGAGAGTGGGGAAAAGCCAGTTACACAGAAACCTTCCCTTCCCTCTGGAAACTGCAGTGAGTCACACACACAGATGCAATACAACAGTGACATCACATCAAGTCATCGGGAAATCCTACAAGTAATGGTATTAATTCAGTATTTTGATATAGTTAACACATGGTTTATGTCCTTGGCAATGCCCAGTGATCTTGGATGCTTACTCTGGGGCTACCCAAAACATTAACACGTTCCTCAATATGAAAAGGGGTTGTTAAAATTATATCGGCAAATTGTAAACATTTGTATCTTAAAACTAGTTCTTTTATAAGCTAATGAAAATGAATTTGGCAATTTCTGAAGCATCATAATGAGAAACTGTAAGACAAATTTTTAAGTCATTTCTCTTGAAAACTTATGTGAAAGTTCAGGTCTATTAGCTCAGTCTTTAATCAGTTGGCTGAAAAGCCATTCTATTACCAGCCCGCTTAGTATTAAGAATTCTAGCTAATTTTACTCTCCCAAATATGTATACGGAAGGAAAACTGAGCAATCTCTACTTCTGCAGAGATACTGCCTCAGAAACCCAAGGAGGGGTGGCTCTGAGTCCAATCGACTCGATGGCAGTAAGTTTGGTTTTGGTAAATATGCATAAGAGATTTTGCCTTGCTATTTCAGGAGAGGTAGCCCTTCAAATACATGGAAATACATTCTCTTACAGCTTTAAACCATTCCTTACACATTTCATTTAAAATAACAGTTGTTTAGAACTTTAAATCCATGAAAATTTCTTTCCAATGAATGTTTTATTTACTGTAAGTCAAAAACGGAAACACTGATTTATTCAATGATCAACGCTGATTTTTCAAAACAAAATATTTTCAATTTTCCCAAGCTGATGGGTAGGGTGGGAAGACTGTTCCCTTTCTAAGGACAATCTCATGGTCCACACACTTTCCCATCTGATCCAGCAGTGGCACTGCCACCCACCAGCACTGAAAGCTGAGATCCCAGCAAGCAAGAGCCACACCCGTGTGCATGCACTCATGTGAAAGCATCACACATACTAAATTGCACTGAGGCCGTGACAACATGCAACTTAGTAATGTGCAATATCTCCACCAGAGCAAGCAGAATGGGAGCATCAGGGAGAGGAATGCGATGCAGACATTCAGGAGACACATGCTGCTGAGGAGGGCCAACGGTCTGGGGATAAAGGATGCATGCCACCAAGTCAGAAATTCACACACTGAAAACCCAGTCACAAAAGTGTTCCGTTTAGAAGAACACTTATTCAAAATTGAGAATACTAATTCAGTTGCAAAAATTCAATGAGACAGTGATTATAAAGTAGCCACATACTTCAGAATCAAAGTTTGAAGAACAAAGACAGTTTCAAAATCATGCTAACTCCCAAGTTCAATTACACTTGTAACTTATTAATGAATCATATAAAAGGAGTGAAGTGATTTTCCACTTCATTACCACAACAATGATGGCTGATGATTGATATTTATAAGATCTGATATCACTGGTAATTTGCAGACTAAACTGAGGACATTAATATTTTTGTAATCATTTATGTAATATTTTTTCTCTTAAATATTTTTCTTCATGAAGAAACAGTCTTTATTGAATACAATCCTTCAGAATGAAAAATCTGACAAGAGCTCTTAGAAACGAAGTCACTGCTATCATTCATATTTACACACAAATATACATATACACACATACAGATGAACATACACATAGATATATATGTGTATATATGGATACATATGTACATGAATGCTTTTCAGAGGAATCTTTGTAAAACCAGTATATTTTAAGTCTTGAATTTGGCCCAGTAAGGAAATAGACCAAAAGACTTAAACTGCTAAAAGTCACCCTGAATTATAATCTTTAATTTAAATAACTGCGTATGTCTATGATTCGAAAAATTTCCCAAGCTAAACAGCAAGTTCTCTAGTCTCTACCACATTCACCAGATTCACAAAAATGCATCTTCTTTGAGAATCATGAGGATTATAGTTCTGGTACTAAAGGTTGTTAAATTTTTTTTGTCTTAAAATTAGGCTGATAATAAAATGAATGGATTTTGTCGCAATTTACTTTGGGAGAAAGTACCAAGACAAGGAGCTGCTGTTACAGTGCATGATTATTGTGTACAATCCCAAGAAGAAAATCGAACTGGTAAAAAGAGACATATGTTTCTCTAGATGGCAACACCCTTTCTAATCTCAGATTCCCTCCTGAGCTTTGGATGTAAACTTCTAGCTGCCAGCCCCCTAAGTCTGTCTGAATGGTCTCAGAACATCACAAATTTAACTGATGATCTTGGTGTAATAGAATCAGCCTGTTTTGAATCAGCCAAACCTACGTGTTAATCACAGGCTCCAGCAGAAACCACAAAACTAAAACGAAGGAGGTATGGGAAACAGATGACTTGGTGACAGATTTGTAAACAGAGGGCAGTCAACCAGTGATTCACTCTGGAAAGCAAAATGCAAGAAAACCAGAGAACTGTGAACTTTTTAAATAGAAAAGTATTTTTGAGAATCAAAATTAGTGCTAACATAGGTCACTTTCTAAAAACGAAGCATCATCTTTCTTGAAGCTCTTTATGCACAGGGTAGGTATTTTTTGGTAGGGTTTCAATCAGGTCACACTGACTAAAGGAGTCCTGCCAGCCTCTGACATGATTGGTCCAACAGGTTTTCCTATTGGGAAGGTATGTTTTACCTTTTTAATAACATTTGCATAAACTTTTTTTGAGTCACAATCATTACACTTACACAAATAAAAGTTAACCTAGTGCTAAAATTCCCATCATCTCATTTATTCAGTAAGGACAGTAATCTACAGTCTCATAGATTTAGAAGGAATACTAAAGCCGGTAGGACTGGTCACCATTTCCTTAAAGACAGCTTCACTCTGAAAGCTGTTACATTAGATGATATACCCCCAACCTCTGGAATCTTTACACAGATGGCCCCCACGTGGATACCCAAGGGCACCACAGGGTATCTATCTTCTTGAAGAAGAACAATTATTTTCTGACCTCATATGATGTCCAATCAAGGAACCAAGATATTGGTGAAGAGTACCCAGGCACTGCTGGTAGGAAAAAGGGAGGAAACCTACAAGTTTCCAGAGACAACACACTGTAGAAGCATCTTCTCTGAATGTAACTGAGCCTTTTCTTGGGAAAACAGGGTGTCTTTACCAGCTGTTAGCTTTATTCTTCAAGAGAAGCTTCAGACCACCTGGCTAAGCACTCACTAGGAAAGAAGCTCTCATGGATTACCTGAAGATGTAGCTTGAGTAGATATTCACAAGAAGTAAAAATGTAGTGCATTCTTATGAATGAGTTAACAGCAATGAGGACAGCGCTTAGGTGAGGAGCTAAGAGTCCTAGGCTGCAAAAGTTCTCTCCCGATCAGAAATGGTAAAAGGGAAACAGAAAAAGAAGCCAGGAGCCGGTGAGCTAGAAAAAGCTTATCAATAGTGAAAGATGAAGAAGAAGCTCCTTCAGAAATCGTGTCTGCAATACATGGATCCCAGACCGCATGATAAAATTTTCTGGCCCGAACCCACATATGATACAGGAATACGGAATCTATGACTTAGGGATAACCAAACGCTGCATTTTCAGTGTCCAAGCCAACTCCTGCAAAAGGCACAGCCTAGCCACTCCTCCCTGGACAAAGGTGGAATTCTTGGAAAGAGGAGGAGGCTTCTGAAAGGAGGCGAGGTCTGCTTGTGGTAGGAGAAGGGGGTTCACATAAACAAAAAACTTGATGGCAGACGCCAGAGAACAACCTGCTGACAGGAAGCTGATGGGAACAGGACGTCAAATCTTTGCTAATCACAGGCTTGAGAGTAAGATATTAAAACTGCTTTGGACTTTTTTTTAAATTAACATTTGTCCTGCTCATGAAATCTTCTCAAAAGGAGACAGAAATCTTGATAATGTCAGTGACCTTTGCTAGTTCAGCATGGACTGTGGTGGCATAGTGCCACCACATAGTGACTGCTAACCAGAAGGCTGATGGTTCAAATCCACCAGCCACTCCTCAGAAGGAAGACTGCACAATCTACTTCTGTAGAGAAACCGCCTCAGAAACCCAAGGTGAGGTGAGTTGGAATAGACTCGACAGCAGTGAGAGTGTGTGTGTGTGTCTCTGTGTGTGTGTGCACGCGCACACGTGCGCGTAACTAGCAAGCTCAAGACAGGAAAGTAGCTTCTCGTGGGAAACAGTGTCTAAGGAATTAAGGACAGCATAAATCTCATTCCTACCTGATAGCTTCTTCCACAGACTGGCCAATGATATTAGAAGACGGACCTGGCTGAGATAATGGGGTCAGGCTTATCACCCACTTCACTGGTTTGTAGTACTCATCACTGGAACTTAACAGATAAAACAGTGTGGTCAGGAAAATTATCTGCAAAACAAAGGACAGTATCTCCTAAATAATCATCTTCTGCAACTACAGGAAGAGAAACATCCACAGAAGCTAATGGCAGCCGGAACATGCTTCATCTACATGTACGTACCAGAGAAAGCACGAAATTGAGAAGGGCAGTCCCACTGTAGAAGAGAATGGTCAGCAGCATCGTGACAGTGGTAAAGAGCAGGCTCACGTTCCGGCTCATAACAATCCACAGAGACTCCAAGATCTAAAGAGAGAAAGCTGGATGCAGGACCACTCCTCGCGGAGAGTTCCCACAGCAATCTAGCGTGCTTCTGATCTAGGGTTTAATTACCACACACTGGTACTAAAGGCAAGAACTGAACATATTAAAACGAAAAAAACTGAAGACACTTAGATGCTCAATAGTAACCAAAACGGTTAAATAAATTATGGTAAGTCCCATCCCTTGAAAAAAACAAACCCACTGCCATCAAGTTGACTCTGACTTATAGTGATCCTATAGGACAGAGAAGGAGCTCTGGTGACATAGTGGGTAAGCCACTTAGCTGCTAGCCAGAAGGTAAGCACTTCAAACCCACCAGCTCCCCCATGGGAGAAGGATGAGGCAATCTACTTCCTAAAGATTTACAGCCTTTGAAATCAAATTGGGGTCACTATGAGTCAGAATCGACTCAATGGCAGTGGGTTTGGTTTTGGGTTTTTTTTATAGGACAAAGTTACAATGCCCTGCAGGGTTTTCAAAGCTATAAATCTTTATGGAAGTAAAGACTGCCCCATCTTTCTCCTCCGTAACAGCTGGTAGGTTCCAACTGTTAACTTTTCAGTAATAGCAGAGTGCTTAACCACCGTGCCACCAAGGCTCCTAAAATAGTATCACACAGTCATTAGAAACATTTCTATTATAACAAAGAAAAATACTTAATGATATAAGGCCAAGTTTAAAAGGCAGACTTTTCAATGCCAAGTTAAAAATTTTTATGTATGATAATAACTACGTAAAAAATGGCATTTGGGAAAAAACTATAGGAAAATAAGCAAAATGCCACCTATGATGACTTTATGCTCAGAGGACCATGAGCAATTTTTTCCTTAAGAGTTCAACATTAAAGTCCGTTA